AAGCGAAATCCAAAGCAATTACAATAAGAAGGGATAGAGAAGCAACCACGCGAAGATGGGCTACTGACTGCCAGTTGGACGCGAAAAGGAAGTCATCCGCAGGGGTGAATCGTTTTATGTTGGGTACGGCTGAGCAGACAGAAAGAGAGGGAGGATGAAGCACACACATGACGAGAGTTCAAGGATGGGCAAACCAGTGCTTTGTGCAATAACTGGGTTAAAAGGAAAAACCGACTGGGGGGATCCCTTCCAAAGCATGCGATGAAATGCAGGGAGACTATGAAAGAGTGAAGTTAACTAAAATAATCCTAGGGAAGCCACGAGTCTGAGGAAATGACATAGAGGAGAGGAAGGTTGNAGGTTGATGTTTCTGAGAGGAGATGAATGAAGTCTTCAGAGCATTGAAAACAACACGATTATAAAAACCCCGAGTGGAAATATGTAAAACTTCATAAGTGTGAAAATTACGTGAGGGCACAGCAATCACAATCAGCGTTTGTAGCGGGAGGCTGGGTAATAAAGAAAATAGCGCAAGTTGGCACCATCAGTGAATCCATGCATGTCGAGGAAAGTAACTTCTTTACTACACATATTTTTGTGTTTAACAGAAGACGACGTATACCTCACAGTCACGAAGACCTCATATTCAGTGATGACCACCGGCAAACTAAGCCCCGGGTCTATGAGTGGCAAACCACGTAAGGCCCTTCTAGATTAAGCGTCTTATTGAATCGGACATCAACAATGCTGCTTACTACCAGATCGAGGTTGAAGAGGAAAAAGATAGGTGAAAACACAGAACTGTGGGTGGTGGTGGCGCAGTGGTTTAGTTGCTGTCACCGGCGTGCTTTGGACCCTGTGGTCCGAGTTTCGAGCCTTGCCACCGCCACCCGACTTTGGTGGCAGGCAGCTCTGCTGTCGTCCGGTTCAATACCACGCCTAACCTATCGGGGCCTAATGTGGTTCGCCACTCCAAGTTCCGAGGCTTAGGTTGCCGATTTCAACCACTGAACAGCAGGTCCTCGTGACTATGGGGTTTACCCCGTCTGCTGTTCATCACACCTAGGTGTGTAATAAAAAAAACGAAACCGTGTGGGATTCTTTAATTATCCAATGAAGCTGGAAAATGGTACAATACCGTCGAAAGCCGTATCAGTGATCGCTCATCAGCCCTTCAAAATCAAAGTGCAAACGAAATGCGTCCGACATGACGCTTTCTATTAATTTCGAAACGATCGTGGTAGTAAGCGCGGTAGGAGCCAGCGTGATCGGGAATGATCTCAAAGTATTCTTAAGGGAGAAATCAGAAACATGGGTCTGCATAATGTATCCATGGCCATTTCGCTGCATCTGTACACGTGCATACAGCAGTCAAAGTGATTTTTATAGTCAGTGAGATAATAATTGTGAAACAAAGATAGGATCGCTAATCACAGCAGACAACATGACACAACAACACAAAAAAGAGGGGCGAGAGAAGGTAGGAGGTCAATCACATGGGCAAAGCTAATGTGACTAACCATTCAATACTCCAGACGATCCAATTGAATTAGAGAAGAAAATTTGTGCGGTACTGAAAACTCTTTCTCAGGCAAACCGTATGCAAGAATCACTATTTACGTAGGAGGGGGATACAGACACCACAACTGTANGGAAGGCATTCCAGTAAGACCCATCCTAAGCAGAATGCATTAGCAAAGTAGTTATCTAATGTTCTGGTACCGATGAGAGAGTCAACTGTTCGGCGTTATGTCAGAGATAGATTTGAGATGTGTAAACATTTGATTCATAGAAATATTCAACAAAGACAGATGTTTACAATGTATGTCAACTCGCTATTCACAAACGTTCCGCTACATGAGACCATTGGGATTATTTGTCAGGTAATTGAAGAAAAAATCTTCAAAGCGGTTTGCCTATCAGTTCTCTCCTGTTCCTACAACCATTAACCATGCACATTAGTGCGCAGGTCTTGGTTACCGATTTGGATTAACAGTAGGAAGAAGACAGCAGAATTATGATTAGAATGTTGAGAGTAGCTTAAAGCGGTAGATAGCGCATTTACATAGACTTAAGTTACAAGAATAATGAGTAGATGCATGAACGCCAATGTTTGCGACACCCAGCCATATCACTCAGTGTCTCTAACCATCGGTGACTATGATCTCGGGGTACCCAGCCAGGGAGCCTAACGACACCTGTGTGAGCCAGTCTCTTGGTCAGGGTTTTCGTGCCCTCATGCCAGGTCTTAGTTTGATTACCCTTGACCTTTATCCTACCGCTACCTACCTCGGCAAAAATCGATCGCCGTGGCAACCTATCTGGTAACATGCGTAGCACATGTCCCAGCCAGGGTAATCCATGGAGGTCGACTACTTGTTCCAGTGGACGACCGCGATTACCTAAAACTCTACGCCTAACCTCAGCATTGCTCATCAGGTTGTCCCACCAGACTCGTGCAATGCTACGTGGACAGCGGTGTTCGAACACCAACAATCTATTTTTATCCAGTTACCTTAATGGTCAATTCTCTGCACTGTAAAGCAGAACTGGTCAAACTGCCGCAGCATACACTCGACCGTTCACAGACAGCCGAATGTCGCGACGGCGCCACAAATGTCTCAAGTTGGCAAATGCCGTTCGTCAAGTGTGTCGCATTACGCCATCATCGTTCAATTCCCTCGTAGATGAAATACTGGAGAACGCACTAAGTGGTCTCCAAACCGTAAGTATTGAATGGGGCGCTGGAGAAAAGCTGTGCAGTTTAGAGTACACCGATGACATCATCTGTCTGTACTTGCTGTTGCCACAAATGTAAAGTCATTCTGCAAGACTGGGTATTACCTACTCCCGCTTTGAAACTGATTGACCAGAAATTAGTTATAGTGGATTGCTTTTCCTACTTGGTTATTTGTGTAACTAATGACAGTAGCGCAGCAAAGGAGGTAACCTCCTTTATTTCCAAGGTTCGAGTAGCATATGCAAGACTGAAACACTTGGTGTAGATGCGACTCTTCACTGAAGTTGAAAGGTCGTGTATATTGTGCTACCAGTCGTTCAGTTTTACTTTATGTTTGCGAAACCTTGAATTTGCGAACTCCATTGATTAGGTGTTTTCGATAGTCGGTGTTTATATAGTTTGGCCCACGTGGGATGGAGCAAACGGGTGGGTAATCTGGAAGTAAGCAGTCGGTGGAAAAAACCACCGGAAGTACCACAGGCATCCGCTATACCCAAACTGGTGTAATTCCCCAAACCACTAGACAGGGATCTGCTTGTCATATTCTGGTTCTCTTGTTTATACACTCTTTTCTATTGCGTAATACATAAACCTTTTTTCTACTACAGCTCATGTACCTGATTTATTAGTTGAGTAAAGCGTATAATTCCGACTCTGAGTCTTCTTCATTTTGCTCTCGTTTTCTTGATTCGTAAAACGTTACCATTTACTCAACTAATAATGAACCGACGCCTCCAATGGACTTACTGGATACGCACTTTCAACGCCTTTCTAAAGTGAATTCAATCCAATGACAGATAAGCTAGACCTACTCACCAATTTTTTGGCACCCTCTGTATATGAACACATCTCTGATTGTAAGACATTTGAAAACGTCAT